ATATTATGTTATATCAGATTAGTCCAAGAGTAGAAGAAGAAATGAGTTTATTTTTTACTTTTACTTAAATCAGTTCAGTTCAGTTCAGTTCAGTTCAGATTATATTCTGCTGGAAACACACTTGACTCAGCAGATTATAAACCAACAAACCAGTGGAGCAGTGGTGGAAAGTCTGTCATTAAATCAGAAAAAGAGTCCATTTTTATTCATGTGAATCCAAAAACACTTTGATCCATTTGAGAGAAGACAGAGTGGAAACAATCAGAGTTTGGAACCAGAATTCATTCATTTATAATCAGTGGTTCATCTGAGTGTGAAGATGAATCAGCTTCACTTTGACATTTACAACAGTAACAGTCAGTGAACTCACCACAGAGACTCCAGTTCACAGAGTGGACTCTGAAGAAAACCACACAGAACCTCCACTCCTGAATCATGAAGGTCATTGTCACTCAGGTTCAGTTCCCTCAGATGGGAGGGGTTGGACTTCAGAGCTGAGACCAGAGAAGAACAGCTGATCTCTGACAAACTGCAGCCCTTCAACCTGAATGAAGAAGAAAAGACAAAGAGAAAAGTAGATTTTCTTCAGCAGCTGGTATTTAATCCATGTTTTGTCTTCAGTTTTAACTGACTGCTGGGAAGATTCTGGTATTTAACCTCTGAGAGGCTGAACAGCTGGGTTTGTCATAACCTGTCCCTAAGAGAGAAGGTGCGGGAGAGAGGAGGGCTTTAGCCAAGCTAAAATCCATTATGGACAATTCCCCTCACCCTCTGTATGACACTGTGGGAGCGCTGAGCAGCTCTTTCAGCAGTCAACAGACTATTTAATACACAACTATAATAATGTTCTACTCTACCAACTCTACCTACAGTTTTTCCACTCATACTGTAGTTGTACCAAGTCTGTACAAACTTGCACTGAATTGTTTTCATTTTTATTTTGTTTATTTTTGTCTGTTCTACGTGCATTATAACTTTAGTCACTTTATTCCTAGCTGGTAATTTGTCATTTTACTGAAATACACCTTGTAAACACTGTGTCTACCCTACTGTTACTGTTACTACTACATGTCTATCCTGCTGCTGTAACAACTGAATTCCCCTGATGTGGGATGAATAAAGTCTCATCTCATCGTTACACTGTGGCCTGGAGGCTGCGTTCTGAACTCTGGCTGCATTTCACAAAAAAAGACACTGAGCAGGGAAATACCTGCAGCATGCAGAAACATTTAGTCAAACACCTTTGACAGTGGCCCTTCTCCTTCAGGTGGAGGTGGACTGCTGAGTCCTGACCTAATGTTGTGACCCTCCTGTGTTGAGCCATATGCTGTGTAATGACTGCTTTGTTTCCCCAATGTACAGGCCAGAACATTCCTCCACTGCATACATCACATTGCTCTGTTTGTGTCTGGCAATCTTTAGGGTGGACACGTTTGTAATGCACTGGGATCTGATGGGTGTTAAAGATCCTCCTGAGTTACTCTGAAACTCCTGCTACATATGGGATGATAATGTTATTCCTCTTTTGGGCTTCATCATCTTTCTTGTCCTTGCTGGGTTTCTTGGCTGTTTTAGCAAACGCCCAGTTTGGATAGCCAAAGTTCTGAGGTGTCTGTGTGTTTGTGTTCCCTTCTTTTCCATTCTGAGAGAATGTTTTGGGGAATGTACTTCAGGGTCCAGATGTGTTGGAGTGTGTTCACTGACCACCTCAACTCAAGTGGATAAAATCATCCAATTCACAAGAGAAGATGTCAGGGACAACCGTCTGCCTTTCCTGGATTGTGTTGTGCACATTGAGAGAAATGGGGAACTCAACCTGGAGTTGTATAGAAAGCCTACCCACACCGATCAGTACCTTCTGTTTGATTCACATCATTCACCTGAACACAGAATGACTTGAATGTCAATCAAATAAATGACTAGCAGCTTCAGTCAGTGAACTCACCTCAGAGTCTTCAGTCCACAGTGTGGACTCTTCAGTCCAGAACACAGATGATCCACTCCTGGATCCTTCAGGGAGTTGTCGCTCAAGTCCAGTTCTATCAGATGTGAGGGACTGGATTTTAGAGCTGAGGCCACAATTTCACAGTCAGTCTCTGAGAGGTAACAACGTCTCAGTCTGTGATGGGAGAAAATATGAAATATGTCAGAATAAAATCAGTTTCTCTTCAAAAGAACGCCACGTTTTCAACACACAAACCATTCATTTTTGCAAAGTTATGGTAAAATAAAGGCCTACAAAAAATCCTAACTTAATAGCCAGAGTCTATAGTTCAGGAGTCGAAAGAGCCGGCTCTTCTTTGGGAGGTGAGCGAAAAGAGCCAGCTCTCTGAAAAGAGCGAACATCCCATCACTATAATACAGCACATTAGTAATTTTACACACTTAGGCCAAACAGTTCTGTAAATAAGGAAGATGAATAACTTTCTCATCAATACTCATTCACTCTATCATCTATTTGTTGCCAAGCCGTTTCCCTTTCTTTGGCGGCTGTAACGTTGTTGTCCTTTTTATTTAAAAGGGTAACCAAATCGTGGTAGTCATTCAAAATGATTTCTTGCTCCAGAAGAGAGAAGCAGAACGTCTGTGATTTCTTTTTTCATAGGACATGGTTCTTGTTATCTGTGCTCAATTGTGGTAGCCTTTATATGTAGTTGGGCACGAACACTACTCAGACGTAACTTGACTCAGACGTCCGAGAGCTAATTGTAATCAGTCGTTGTGAAACCGGAAAGTCAGAGTTTGACCTCTCTGGCTAACAATAGCCAGAGCTATGACTTTAACTCAGAGTTTCGTGAGTCCACGTCAAGAAACGGACCCCAGGTCAACAAGTCAACAGGTCAACACAGACTCTTCTGGTCACTGATGTTTTCACTCAGACTACAGCTGTTTGTTTGTTCATTAATCTATGGATTTGATCAATTGTTGTTGTAGTCATGGTAACCACTGAAGAACCTGATCATCTGTCTGTAGGAGACAACTACACAATGATGTTCCTGTGGAGAAGGACAAACCATGGAGTGGACCATGGACTAGTCTGGACTGTAGACAGTGAAGAGACAGAGGTGTGTTGATGTCTGATTAATACTGCTTTAAAATGACTGAGTTAAAGACTCACAGCAGTGTGTCATTATAAAGAGCTTCATGTTTCATCGTACTTGTACTGATATTCTGAGCATGTTTAAAGACAAAAGGTTGAGTTTTTAACTGCTGGACGAGCAGCAGGAAAATCTCTGACTGTGTTGGATCATTAGTTCAGTATCACTGAGTCATAAAGACAGACCTGTACCAACACTGGTACCTGCTGACATTCACTGCACTTCTCCTTTAACCACCCATGACCCATAAACTGAACACTGACTGACTAATCAATAGTTATTGATCACTAACTCACCCAGCCTTCCTGCAGTTCCTCACAGCTGGGATCAGTCTGTGTTTCCCTCCTTTGATGTGTTATACTGGTTCAGGTACAACTGATCCAGAACCTCCTCTGACATCTGCAGCATGTAGGCCAGAGCTGAGCACTGGATCTCAGAGAGTTCCTGGTCTCTGTTCTTTGACTTCAGGAACTCCTGGATCTGCTGATGAACTGACTGATCCTTCAACTCTGTCAGACAGTGGAAGATGTTGATGCTTCTGTCTGGAGAGACGTTGGACGTCTCCATACGTTTTAGGTCTTCAATGACCTCTGGAATGACTTGTGGACTGTAGTGTGTCTGACCCAGCAGGTCTCCTAAGATTCTCTGGTGGGACTCCAGACACAGACCATAAAGGAAGCGAACAAACAGGTCCAGGTGACCACTTTTACTTTGGAGGGATTTTTCCATGGTTTTACTGAGGAACAGATTCAGTGAAGGGTCATATGTACTGAAGTCAATGAAGTCCTGCAGTACCTGTGTCCTCCTGTTGGTGTAGCAGTGGAACAAGTAGACTGCAGCCAGAAACTCCTGAACACTCAGATGAACAAAGCAGTAGACAGTTTTCTTGAAGATCACACTCTCTCTTCTGAAGATCTCAGTACAAACTCCTGAGTAGACCATGGCCTGGGTCACGTCCAGACCACAATGGTCCAGATCTTCTTGGTAGAACATGATGTTTCCTTTCTGCAGATGTTCAAACGCCAGCCTCCCCAGCTTCAGAAGAACATCTCCGTCCAACAGACCAGTCTCAGGTCCTCCACTGTACTTCTTCTTCTTCCTCTTTGTCTGAACCAACAGGAAGTGAGAGTACAGGTCTGTCAGGGTTCTGGGCAGTTCTCCTGTCTGCTCTGAGGTCAACATGTGCTCCAGAACTGTGGCACTGATCCAGCAGAAGACTGGGATTTGACACATGATGTGGAGACTCCTGGTCGTCCTGACATGTGAGATGATTCTGTTGGACAGCTCTTCATCTCTGGACCTCTTCCTGAAGTACTGGTCCTTCTGGTCGTCAGTGAAGCCTCGTACTTCTGTCACCCTGTGGACGCACAGAGGAGGGATCTGATTGGCTGCTGCAGGTCTGGAGGTGATCCAGA